TTTCTTCAGGAACAAAGCTGTGGGGATCCGCCAGCCTCTGTGGGTACCAAGTTTGCTGCGGATGTGATAAAGCGGACCCAGCACCAGGATTCAAATCCCTTGTAAACGATGAAACTCTATCCAAGTATAGGTTATCTGTGGAACTGGGACGCGCTAAAAACGTTAATAAAAACCCTGTGGCTGAAGAGGCCATCCAGGAGTTAGAAACAGAAATACTTCGGTCAGGATCCACTGTGCCGTGCCGTCACACCCATCATTCTCTCCCTCGCTACAGCACGACTCAACACTCGCATTAGGAAACGCGGTCTGTCTGCTCGTGAAATGCTTTTCTAGCGAGACCAATTCTACAACCGACAGATACCCGTAGATGATCAATCACTCCTTATGCAACAACACGACGACAGGAACAAGAATCATCCTTACAGTGAGATAAGCAAAAAGCCCATCGCGTCGACAACCAATCCCCCCTCGGCTAAACCGAGGTGATCTTGTATATTTGTTCTCCGATAGGAACAAATCGTGTGCCCGCGACAGATACTTAGTGGTAAGCGTTGATGGCCAATGGTGTAATATCCAAAAATGTGTTGGCTGTCAATTACGTAAGTCATCGTACCGTGTGTTGACTTCAGATTGCTTTAAAGTAGAGGGTCTTTCGCAAATATCGGATTCGCAAGGCCCTCCCCGGTTTGTGCAAAGCGACATACACTCAGACGATGATGACAATGTGCACGTTGGCCCTCTAGTTGGACAGCATGATTTCTCCAACAATGTACCAATATCCGCTGACATTATACCTCCTTCCCTGCCTGAAATACCGTCGGTAATTGGTCAAATAACCTATGTTATTAATTGTGTGGCTAGTGTTTAACACTTTATTGTGAATCATGACAATGTTTAACAAAAAACATTTACTCTTACAAAGTTTAATTCCAGTTGACTGTTACTAGTGTTAGTTTATATTTTGATCAAACGATCTGTGAGTCATATAGAACTGTTGTGCCACCATATTAAGTAACGTTCATTTATAGATGTTTGCAACTTTGCGGTTAATGTTTCCTTATCATTCATAAAAACTTAGCCATAAGTCATTTACAAAGAAAAAGAGGGTAGCGCCAGTGTAATGTATGTTAGTTATTATGGTTCCGGAGATCCCGGACCGGGCTCCCATTTGTGTGTTACACGTATGTGCCGCTCTTCCGTTTTCCGTCATTAAACGTTCGATCTCTCACCGTGGTGTGTGTGTTCCTCTTTACTGGCGTATGATAAATATAAGTGATATATTCATTGATTATTAAAGTTTTTTTAACGTATCTTCCCATGAATTAGCGGTGTTTTAGCATTATATAATTGTATCTATTAGGCATTTATCGTTTTGAACAGAACTTGAGTCGAGTGAAGTATAGCCCAATGTTAAACATTTGCTAAAAAATATATGCTTTGGTAGTCGACTAACCCCATTATATGTATTTAAATATCTCGGATAGAGACCTCAGATACGTTTTATATGCCGTTTCATTATTTGCAATACACAGAAAGTGTGAAGAATATTTGTATTGTCTTATTACACATTTTTGGTGTTTTATAGACATATCAGCAGTTCTTATTATTCTAGCAATAGACGTATCAACACGTAATTTCTTAAGCGGCCTTAAAGTGTTATGTCAAAGGTCATGGGGGAAAAACCGCTTATGCGCTTGCAAAAACTTGCATGGCGGTCAATTTAAGAGTCCTTGGATACAGTCACGATTTCTTATATTTAAGCTATATATCCACAGTGAAGAATCATAGGAACATCGAGTACGAAATCAGGTACATCTAATATTTTGGAAAATCTTCAATGTTTGGCACCTACATACTACAAAATCAGCGATCTGGCAATTTGTTTGAGGGTCTCACTCTCAGAGAGATGGGTGTGTCAGCTAGCTCTCCCATTAAATGGTGGATCGGGCTATTTATCGGACAAGCCAATCAAACTTATTATTTTTCCTTTCTCCGATACATCATGATAAAACCTGTTTCTGGTATACTTAACTGTGACCTTTTCCAGCCGATATAGGAGAATTTTTAAAGCATCAAAAACGACGATGTTGTCGTTACATTTCCACTTTCCGTTTGGCAAATATTAAGTAACCTCATTCAGGGATGTGTAGTCCACTACACATCTTCAGGGATGTGTAGTCCACTACACATCCCTGCCTCATCGTAACAAAAAAATCGTTCATATGCCATTGTCAAACTTGTGCTAATGGCATGTAACAGTCTTACTTGTCTCGGAGTGTGTCATAAATAACGTCATCAAGTATTGTTGTAGCAAATTATCTTCATTGGGGCCAGCTGTCTAGGGGTATTATCGGACAGGCAATGTTGGAGGCACAGCACTCTTTGAAAAGTCGTTTTTGAGCTGGTTATAACTTGGAAAACCACCTGTGAGCATCTCACAATAGCTGGTAGTACATTACAAATAAAATGAAACAGTAAATATGAATGTGTATTTACTGTAGATTAATTGCCTACATTTGTAGTGGAACTTGTATTGGTAATGAATCGGGAAATAAAATAGTTTAGTATTTGAAGGGGGCGTGGCTAATATTCACATTACTTCTAAAGTCAACATGTACATTTATATTCTAAGCCTAGTAGTATTAGTGTTGTGGATTTAGAAAGAGGTAGATTATAATAAATATTATATGATTGGTTAACAGATTATTATTATAAAAATACTATTATTATAATCAAATGAACTCCCATCATCCAAGCATTTTGTTTTTTAGATTACATGCAGAGTCAAAATGTTTGATTCGTCCATGTTCCTGGAACAGTCTAATGCCACCAAAATGTTTGCTTCTTACCACGATTTGTGATGGGGCACTGCCATAATAACACAAATACAATTGCATTCATAGCCCTATGATCACAATTTCTTCTTGTAGTGTTTATATATAGTTGCAGCTTGGAGGATACCTACAATTCTTTTCCTTCACATTCGAACATAAATTTACAAAAGCATTTATTCCGTTCAAGTTTTTGTTTCGTTGGTTAATAATTCATGTTCGTTAGTGTATGGTAAAAATGACAGGATTTTATTTTAAAATATAAATTGTCAGTAGACCCTAGTCCTGAGATCTGATGTATTCAAATAGGTCTTGATGGAATTGTCTCCAATCATTTACATTACATACCAATGATAGGTGGTATTTTTGGCATCTGGTTTCTCTGATATCATCTATGTTAGCACATATGGTGACTTTCATAAATACCTATTCTATTACCAGTAAGTGTTTTTGCTCACATTTTTCAGATTTGATTATTGGATATCTGGTAGTATGAAGTTGTTATGAATTTGGTTGTATTTACATTA